AACCTGTTTCTCATACCATGTTCAATAACAGGCACTGGGTATTCCAACAAGATTCGGCGCCAGCTCATAGAGCGAAGAGTACACAAGACTAGCGGTGGGCGTTTAAACGAAAAGCGCTTAAATTAGCGCGCTTAAAATATTAAGCTTGTAAGCACGCTTTTAAGTATAAGCGTTATAAGCTTTTCACTAAAAAATGTGAGTAAGCTTTTCACTTAAAAAGTGAAAGTATATTTTTTACTTAAAAAGTGCAATTCCCGCCATCTATGTCTACTACTATGTCCACTACAGTATCGAAAAATGGGTACGCGGAATTCCTTGGAACTAAATATTTCACAATATCACAAACATAGAACGCGCGACTACAGCGCCGCGTCGGCGTGCCATCTTTCGTGAGCCGGTTAATACAGCATGCGAATTATTATAATGCGAAGTAAAAATTGGCACTTTTTTAAAATTTGGTCGGATAACCTACGCTTTTTTCGTTATAAGCGTTTAATTAAGCGAAGTCGAAAAGCAGTACGCTTGTCACTGTGACGGAGTAAGAGCGCGTGGGTGTTGTACGGTGTGTTTGCATGCTTGCTTGTGTTAATGCGTTTCGTGTATTGGTTTAATGTGCATATAAAATAGTTAAAAGTATGTATATAAAATCAATGAACTTTTAAGTACATAAAGTATATAAAATCAATGAACTTTTAAGTACGCCTGGATCACGAGTATATTAACTCCAGATAGTCCTAAGCTTGTAAAGTACGAAGGAAAGTTCATTGACTATTATAAAAATGTTTATTATAAAATCTAAATTCAATTGAATATTTTTCGTTTTTAATGCCATTCAATTCATTAGGTTTAAAAAAACTTTTTAATAAAAATTTCATTAATAAGAAGAAAAAACGCAATAAAACACTTAAACACATTAAAAACGACAATAAACTTTTCACGCTTTTTTAAACGATATACCTAAACGAAAACACAACACAACGTCGCGCTTTTTACGCATGCTTTTAAACGTTTAAGCCAATAAGCGTTTAAACGAAAAAGCTTTTTTTCAAGCGTGCTTATTTTAAAAAGTACAACGTTTAAACGCTTTTAAGAAATAAGCCGTTTTTACCATCTCTACACAAGACTGCAAGGATTTACAAAACATCATATAGTGTACTTTTAATAATGAAACAATATTCAATAGTAAAAAAAATGTATCTACTAATTGAAAAGCCTTTCACGTGACGTAATTCCGTTATTACACCTATCTTGCTGTAGCCGTAGTGCTTATTATAAGTAGTTACGGCATAATGACATAGGAGGTCAAGTTCATTCAAGTGTTATTAGTGCAGTTTATATTGACAAAGCGAGCATTTTTAAACTAGTGTGTTAATTCGATTATAAACTTAAATTATAACAGTAAAGAAGACGTAATAAGAACGGTAAAAACTAACTACATAATTACAAGAACGTAATGTGTTGTAAATATCATTTGGGTTTCGTAACATCATGTCTGTATCTGTTGTTTTTGTAAATGCAACGCAGAAGAATAAAATTTGTAAAATTCAGATCCGGGCAGAATAATTTAGATCTTATTTATTGAGAGAAAATTAAGTTATAAAATCATAATAAAGAAAGAAAGAAACAAATGAGATTAACCACTTTGCATGGGTGGTTGGAACAGATACCAAGTTCTTTGTACAAGAGCAAAATAAACATCATTGCAAAGCTTATTATTGATATTTACCGTCGTTGTTAATTGAATTCGATAGCTAATTGGGTTAATGAGATATTTTGTTTAGAAAAAAAATTAAGCATAAGTAAATAGGGTTTTTCTGTTGTAATTCACATAATAAACATTATTATTTTACTTATTTGAAACAAATAGATGTCTACAAAGACAAAGTAGGCACCGATATTCAATAATTTTGTGAAATACCAATCATACACATATTATTATTTTGGACCTGACATAGTCATATTTTGTTCATTCATTATTTCGTATAAATTTATGGTTGTGATTGAATATACATATTTATCATTATATTTTATACTAATGGCCCGCCCTCGCTTCGCTTCGGTATAGAGCTGTAGTGTAGACTATAGTTTTTGTTCTCAGGCTTGTATTATACACAATGACATTCTTCTAATACCTAATTACAATAGGCACGCGCCGCCGAGCCCCCCGCCCGGTAGCTTCGGAGCCACTATGTCCCTACATTTCAAATCTGTAATATCTTTGAAAACATTTCATTAAATTACATGCGTTAAAGGACCAAATTGGTCTATATTAAATGCACAATGTATTTAAGGTACCTAATTTGATAAGGATGAATGTTATATTGCTGAAAATAGCTTCGTAAATAATCTATTATTTCTCGTAAAAAGTATAGTATAAAAAATGGTTATTATGGGTTATCCCTAAGAGATAGACATATACCATCACGGACTATTTTTTAGACCTTTTTAAGGTGTACAATACTGTAGTACATTATTTTGATCTATCTCGTAGGGTTCAGCCAGCGTTTGCAATGTAAGCACAAAAAAAATGTGTTTATTTACGACGTGACATTAAAAACTTCTAAAATTTATCAGTGTTTCTCTACTGTATTATACATGCATTATACATATAAACCATCCTCTTGAATCACTCTATCTCCTAAAAAACTCATCAAAATCCGTTGCGTAGTTTTAAAGATCTAAGCGTACATAGGGACATAGGGACAGACAGCGGGAAGCGACTTTGCTTTATACTATGTAGTGATGTACAAAATAACAATCTTTCACCTTAGTGTAGTGGCTACTCTATAAATAAGTTAGTATATAACTAACCTATTTTGGTCAATGTGAGCAGAGCATCGCAAAGTCAATGCAAATTATTTATGTAATCGCTCTAAATTATGTCACTGGGCTAAGTGTAATATTTAAATAACCTGCTTTATCTTAACGTAATTAATAGGTAAACTGTAATCGGAGCGCAACAAGGAACAGTACTTTCGCTACTAAAACTGCTAGCCCTTATACGCGCGTTAAGCCATGCTCACATGATGATATATTTAATGTTTTTTTTAACAATTACACCAATAAACCAAGTCCTAGTTTAAGACTTATGTTATGGGATTCTAGGGTAAGGGATATAATACATGTACTGATACATATATAAGTATACTTATGTAGAAATATGTATAAACTTCCATGACTTGGGATCAAGTGGCCGCTTTCATCAGATGAACATTTGCCCCACCAGGATTGGAACCCGGGACCTCTGAGTAGGCAAAACCTTGAAACCCGGCATACAATGCGTACATACCACTCTGCCACGGAAGTCGTCGATATAGAATATATCCATAGAAAAATTGTTGCTTTTGTATAGCTAACCAGCTATGATTAATGCTCTGAAACATTAAAGCGAATGTTTTAATGTATACATTACCTTTAAAATCAAAACAATTGTTTTAATGGGAGCAATTAACTATTGTTTTATTATTAAATATGAGTGAAAATTATGAAATTATTTTTTTAGAAAAATTATATAACAATAATAATTACTGAAGTTAATTGTTTTCACATGCACCAACATAAGAATAATTGATGTTAAGTCATCATGACTTTTAAATTTATTATGATTAATAAAACTAGATTCAGGCATAGTGCCCTGGGTATAAAAAAATATTATAAAATTGCATGATCTTCTGATTTGTTTAGCTGATTGACGTATATCACTAAAGTTGTGAATTTTTCAATACTATACCTTACAATTAGAAATATCCTATTAATATTTGAAAACGTGAAAGTTTTTATGTTTCTTACTCAATCACGCAAAAACGGCTGAACAGATTTGGATGAAATTTGGCACACATATAGTTTACTTCTTGGATTTAGATATAAAGATTTTATATCCCACAAAAATGTTAGGTTTCTGTAAAATTTCCAAAAAACTAACTATATTATGATGAATAAGGCCCACGGTCAGATTTAATGAACTATTTATTCCAATTAAAGCTTCCTAATGGTTTTTCTATTCTAGGATCTACAAGAAAAATCGCGAGTGGAAGCTAGTAAATAATAATGTCCATTAATCTCCCGTTCGTGTAGACTAAGTTTAAACGCCGTGTAATAAATTACGATCGCTCTCATAACGCCAGCTATCAGAGTTGGAAGTTTGTTATTGCAAAAGGATACAGTTTCGTTTCATATCCCTGGATTACGTCTAAGCTTATGTAAAGCTGAAGTTCGAAAGGCCTTTGGTTAACCTAAACACAATAATAGATAGGTATTATTTACTTTTAATCATTTCTGGAAAAGGCTTGGTGCCTTCCATTACCTATTAACACATTTTTAAACTAATGAGATGATACCTGAAATGTAATCCGCTAAATTCACTTTTAATTATAGGGAAATAGAGTAAATTTTTATTCGAATGTACGGTATTATTTGAGGTCCTAAATAAACATCAAATTTTATTTATAATTTTATATTTTTTAAGCATGAAACTGCTTGATGTTTAAATCTAAAGAAAATATAACTAGAAAAATATTCCACGCGGAACAGGCAGCAGACGGGACTCGATCCTGCACCAAATTTCATCAAATTTTATTTCAATATAAAGGTAAAAACAAATTCAAAATCAAAGCTAAAACCGTGTACCTACATGTAAGCACTACCTTCTGCTCAGACAACCGCAAGATATTCGATCGTATTGAAAAAAAAAACATTTTTATACTATTATCCGATCAAGTGCGGTGCGAATTTATCAGGTCTTTTATCAGAATCTATAAAGTTAAAAATAAACAGTCTAAATTGGGATCCGACGGCTTAAAAAATTGCCAACCTCTCACTTAATATCCATTTTCTCTACACATTGTGGCCATATCGGGTTGCGACATTCGATAAAGCGAGCAGATTGGCAACGCTGCAATTACTGTAATCCGATCGAATATCGTCGGGATAGATCCCCACCACGGGCTTATGTTTTGTTTGATATATAAAAAGAGTGCGCTATCAGACCAACACCAGTCGTCAAAGCATTTGTCTTAAGCAAAATGTTCTCCAAAGTAAGCATACGTTAATAAAAAATATACAAATTACGTAACATACTTACAAACAGCAGAACAATTGCAATTTCGTGAAATTAAATGTTTTGTCAAACCAAAAGTTGGCTTAGCTTTGTGTTTGACTTAATTAGTCAATTACTTCCCCTTGAAAAACTTAATCAGTCATCAAATACAATGCTTATTATAACACTTAATTGTATCTGGTAGGAGAGCCAGAATTGGGCTAAGCAAATGAAGATAACCTACTTACGATCCGTTATGGAAGCAAAGATTTTTTAATGTTTTTATTTACCTCAATAGGTCGTTATCGCCCTTGCCCTTGTGGCGGCGTGTCACGCTGGTCTCCTGCATCACGCGCCTGCAGTATCATCACAGAACATCGTCCGTCACGACCAAACCGTCCACCACGAGGCACCAGTCCACTACGCACAGGCAGTTCACGCTGCCCCCATCGTACACTCTGCTCCCGTGGCCGTACATGCTGCTCCCGTGGCCGTACATGCTGCTCCCGTGGCCGTACACGCTGCTCCCATAGCCATCCACGCCGCTCCCTCCCATGAAGATCACTATGTTGATGAATACGTAAGAACCTATTTAAGTAAATCATTGCTTATTGATTCTTCACTTAATTACGTTTTTACAATTAATTGTAATATAATTGAATTTATAAAGTAGTGGGCAACTTATAAGCCTAATTACAATGTTCGAAAATACGGATCTCTATGTTACTTAGTGGTTCTTTTCAGTACAAGGTCTCCCGCCGTGTTGATTAACGAATAGATAGCATAGATTTTTGAATTTCATAGGTGTTTAGAGCAGCCGGTACTGAATAAAAGAGTTTAATTTCATTAGAAATACCCTACATAAGTAAGTAAGTTAGATGGCTTATTGTTGAGCACGTCTGTTATGGCTAGTTTTATATTATATGGTACTTAGATACCTACGCTGAATCTTTAGTTTTGAACTGCACAAACAGTTCCAGGGAAGTCTCACAGGGGAAGGCCTTTAGTACCTTTAAAAAACTGAGAATGATGAACACAACAGCAAAAATTATACTAATGACCTAAAAAAATCGTTTCTCCAACCGTCGAGCTGAGTTGATCAGTTTGAATCGGGATATTAATCAAACCTAATTTCATAGCTTTAATATAATCCTCAATTTTCCAGGCTCATCCCAAATACGGTTACTCGTACTCCGTGGAGGACCCTCATACCGGAGACCACAAGTCCCAGCATGAAGAGCGCGACGGTGACGTGGTGAAGGGCGAATACTCCCTGCTGCAGCCCGACGGTTCCTTCCGCAAGGTCACCTACACCGCTGATCATCATAATGGGTGAGAAAAGTTCTATTGTTTCATTGCAATATAGAATAGGTGGTAAAATATAATTAGCAACATACGAGTATATCTAGACAATTTGAATTTTTAGAACAACAATTGACGATCTATAGTCTCAGTCAACATGAATAATAATAATAATAAATAAAGATTTATTGTGTGTTGTGTTGTATGTGATTTGAAATTTATTTAAAATTCGAGTTCTTATTTTAAATCACACCGGTGAAAAGCGAGTTTTTTGATACGGAATAGCACTGCAGAATATCTGCACTGCTGCTAATTTATTTTTTTCTATGCGTATTGATGGAGTTAACTCAACTTTGCATTATAAGCGAACACACTAAATGAAATTTACTTATATCACAAAGACTAATTTGCAGAATGTTTATTGATATATTTTACATTTCTATCGAAATAATATTATTAATACAACTCAATTTATTTATAGTAAAAAAAAATCATTCTAACAAAGAGGTTTGCTTAACCAATTCACGCGTATCATAATTTCGTGCCTTCATTGCGACCTAACTAATTTTCTTTATTGTCTCGGCTTGTATGATGAGGTCTGTCTCACGCATCTTTATTGTTTTGCCCACAGATTCAACGCCGTGGTACACAACTCGCCGCCCGTCATCCATCATCATTAGACGCTGTCGCTTACTCAATCTGTGATATTAGAATATTGTAGCGTACAAACAAATCGAGTCTTTCTGCCTTACTTCATTCTTCTTAGACCAAACTCTTTTGTAAATAATCTATCTTTGTGTCTACGAAATTATGTCTAATAAATTAATAAAATTTAACGTGTTATTTTTGGTTCCCTTGGTGGAGTTATTTAAAGAAGAAAAAATTATGAAGATTAACATTTTTACCCACCTGAGCCTACACTAAATAGTTTAAGCTGTATTATGTGGTTTAAGTAAAATAATGAACTTACGTTTGAAAGTGACAAAATAAAATGAAACCCAGAACCGGTTAAGTATTCTATGTGAATATGGCGAACGAGATGGACGGCACTCTTCATCCATAAGTAATTACTGTACATTAGCAATAAAAGATTAAAATAATAACATAAGGTATACGAAAAGTGAAAATTTAGTAGACCAATGTCGTATTCGGTTTCGAAATTATAAGAGCAGAAACAATAAAAGATCATAACAAAACTGATTCACTTAAACTAATTAAAAGACCTAATTAACAGTATGCAGATACTTATTTCATGAACCAATTAGCAACGCGTGGTAATTGCATTGTTTAAGGAACGTGTGAATTTGCTCAGTATTACACTTTTCAGACAAAACTGGCCCAGTGCGAGACAGACTCGTAAACAAAAGGTTCTGTACCAGAAAATTGTACTTATCGAGAAAAAAGAAGAAAAATCACGTTTTATGTATGGTTTATAAACAGCCGAAGGGTTTTAAACTTTCATGGTCACTAACATTAAAGTCATCATCAGCCTATTAATGTCCCCACTGCTGGGGCACAGGCCTTCCCTATGGATGGAATAGGGAGATTGGCCATAACCCACCACGCGGGCCCAGTGCGGATTGGTGGGTGCTAACGACTGCAGATGCAGCCGGGACCAACGGCTTAACGTGCCTTCTGAAGCACGGAGGAGCTCGAGATAGTAATTTTCCCCATCCAATGACCGACCACTGCGAAAGTTGCTTAAGTTTAACGATCGCGGCCGAACGCGCTAACCACTTGCACCATCGAGCTATTCAAAGCTCTTTAGCGAGTAAAAACAAGGTACATGGTTACAATCCCGTAAATAACTTATATTACTATAATCCGAAGCATTATTTTTTAACTATATTTTAAATGAATAAATAGCGGCCATAATTCTGTGAAAATTTCTGATATCTAGGTACCATTCTTCTGCCTTGAATAATAGACAAAGAATGCTTATTAATAGTGTTATATTTGTTACTCTTTGAATAAGTAACACCAAAACCGAGGCAAAATATTAACCGAAAACAATCTGCCGTACTTAACATAAACGAAATAGTCAATCTGTTCGGATTATATTATAGAAGTTTCGCAGCAGAGGTCGTCGATAAAGGACGACTATAGAAAACTATTAAATAAATGAAACAACAAAGTATATCAAGGAGAAAAAAATATCTTTTTTTAATTTATCATAATAACACAAAGTAAAAATCGAACAGCATAAAGAAGACAAGTTCTATATTTCCTAATTGACCAAAAATATTGAATAAGCATATGTGTATTTTCGCTAACGCAACTTAAAACTTTAAAAATAACCAATAAACTCTATAATAATGTGCCGAAACCTTGTCAATACTGTACCCCTAGCACGAACCAATATCGAATTCGTATCGTTTGCGAGTCCGAAATGTCATTGTCAAATGTGTAGCTACTGATGTTTAGTTCCCGTTACGTACTTTGTGGCGCTGCTGTTCAAGTTTCCATACAAAATTTGACATTGACATTTCGGTTTGCAAACTATTCGAATTCGATAATGGTTTCGTGCTAGGGGTACAGAACATAATCCAATTATTGATACACATAAAATTTGCGACATGTCATTTCATTAATTTATTGTATGTATAAATACAAAATACAAACGTGATGGCATTATTAGCTCTACCTTGTTTTGTGTATAAAATATAAATGTCTATATAAAATTATGGCAAAAGTTACCGTTATAGTTGAAACGAGTACAAAATATTTCACTTATCTAAATGCCCCATGATTCATCTAAAGCTAACCTTAAAGCGAATGTGATACTTTTCCTGGAGCATAACTCTCACCTAAACCCAAGCTATAACTCTATCCCCAGGAGTTACAGTCTAGTTAATGCACCTTTCTAGGAATTAACCCAGGTAAACTAAGTAACTCTACAGATACCAATATTCAGTAAGATGGAGGATAAGATAAGTATTTTCATAAGTAGCATTTGTTAAAAATTAAGCTTAATAAAAAATACATTATCATCGTCAAACAACTTAATCATAATATTATCGATTCGTAACACATTGAATTATAATTTAATACGTCACAAGCAAACTTTTAAATACTTACTATTTATTGATTGTGACATCCAACTGAATTATATCGATGAGGTTCGTGTCTGCATTTAATGAAGATTTCGATTATAATTCGTTAAGCAACGAGGACCTTTCTGACACACAATACATCGATAACGTTTCATAAGTACAACATGTTTTATGCATCCCTTTTTAACACGACACGAGTGAACTTTGGATGATTCGTCATGACTAAGAAATAATTGACATTTCCAGAAGGTCCATAATGTGTCTTAACAGAAAGTAGCAGTTTTTTGTATAAATCATTTATTCTTCATCGTTATTTCTCTTTACATAAGATTACTACAGTTATGTTCCATTGTTTTTGTCCGTACAGGTAATTGCCTATGTGTACCAATTAGTACAACCGACTGTAAGATATCATAGCCTCTTTCACTCCTTAGACAAAACAAAAGAATTTACAATTTCTTACGACAACCTCTGTACTATATGAAAATGCGAGCATGCCATACTAGCACCGACGATATATTAGAATGAGGTCAAAATATCTTTAGACGTAGATAGCTATTATATTATTTGAAATTCAGTATTTTATGTTTTTCCGCACAACCTCAGTTCATTCATTGTTTCTGAATTTTCTTCTACTTACTTTAGAATCAGATCAATGGATGTCATACTTTCAATAATAATTTATTCGAATCTTTTTAAAAATATCAAATTTTTGGAGATCATAATTATAAAACAGATGCCTGATCAACTATTATATTAAGTAGGAACCAGATAGATTAGAACCTCGTTGGAATTTAACCGATCATCTGATTAGAATTACATGATAAACCGACGGTAATTCATTGGGGAAAGCAAGCCCATAAGTTAAACATCAGATTCCTGGTCTCGACTGCGTTCACTACATGAAATTATTTGTTTAACTTAGGCATCTGTCTCAGATCTGGATGTAACTAATACCTTAGTTGTTTCAAATATCAGTTCCGTCAAGTTTGTTTCGTATCAAGGCACTGAATTGTTGCAGACAACTTATTCATTTTACCAACAATCCTACAGATATAAATAACGTCTGAATAAAAAAATAACTTTTTGTTATTTAACATGCACTATGTTGCCTATATTCTTATAGCCCATGTCGCATGGATTACAATATTGCAATCAGTACAATCAAACGAATCGATTGATACCTCACTCATCAAAATCGTACCCACAGCAATAAATCAAGTTCAACCTCTACGCTGAAACATACAAATGTTATAAACTTTCAAAATCATAACTCTTCCTTTCGGCTTTTCCATAGTCGGATAAAAAAGTGCTTATATTGATGCAACAATGACATTGAAGAGCATAAAGTTTGCGTGACTTGCGGTTGTCCGAACACTTCGATACGAATCCGTTACGGTGATGAACAAGGTCATTACTCCCATTGTGCTTAGTTACGGGCTTATGGTATTTGTAGTAGACCGTGCATTTATTGTACATCATAAATATAGTTATATTTATTTATAATAGTTAAATTTATTTTAAAAATATGCAAGAGCCTTGAGCGTTCGCAAAACAATATTTAATAAAATTACCTGTGTCCGACTACAGTACCAAATAACTAAAAATATTTCCTAAAGGTATGAATGGTCACATTAATAACCTAACGGCAAAGTTTACTTTTATTTTAATAATAAAAGATTACATATATCATTTATGGAACAAACAAAAAAGAAGCTCATACATATTATTCAAGTTTTAAATGCTTTAATGAATATTATAAATATCCTTCCACCTGTAGAACTAATATTATCAATGGACTTTGTTGAAGCTGTTTTGTCTAGAATATTATTTCTTTAATGTCAAGCATGCTTAATATAATGCAGAATGTTAAACGCAATCATTTACAAACAAAACTATATTTAATATCAACTTCAATCACCTTATGCCGGCAGACTAAGAGGCCAATATTAATAAAAAAAACTTTCACAGTCGCACCCACATCAATTCCACATTAATTATCACAATACGATAAAAAAAGATGCGTCGAAGTGATTATATGCGTATTCAAGCCTTTTCTGGTCGTCCCAAAATGATACTCGAAAATTTACGATTGCCAGTGCCGAATTAAATGAGGATAAACGGTGGCTGTCGTTGAGGGATCGAGTAAATGCCATGCCATGCTGCTACGCCGGTCAAGGCGGCCTTCGCGCAGATGGCAAGTTAGCGCTCATGCGTCCGCGGTACGGAGGAAGTTATTCTCTCACGTCGATTGCAAATATTAGGATAGGAACACTCTGGGAGCAAAATGGTAGAAATTAAATGTTTGTTTGAAAAAAAATTTGTTGAAATCTCTGTAAGTCACCACTAGACCTAAGCAGCTCTCACAAATGTTAAACATTTAATTAAGGTGCATTTAATAGTTTTATTATTAATAATAATAATAAGGTCAATAAAATCTGACATAATCAAAAATCAAATTGAATACTACTCAAGTTTTATTCTCTTTTAATGTACAGGCAAGCGCGCTTAATGTAGCAATCGTAGCAATATATTAAGGTGCATATATGACGTAACGCCAAAATATCCGTTACGCTCTTTAAGCCTGGATTTATCGAAATTTTCCTATATTACTGTTAAAACAATAATCTTTTATAACTTTAAATTTTCCTGCTTGAACGTATATAAACTCAATTTGAGGAAATTTCTTTTTTGGTATTTTTCTCCAAT